ATTCTTTTTTTCTCTTTCGAGTAGGTCATGTATTGAAAGACGATGTCCTGTAGCTTCCTGATGTACATAAATAAAAATGAGCACAATGTCCGAGTATAGTAAGTATACACAGTATATAGGCTATGCCCTTTATTGAATGTGCACGGTGATGGTCTAGGGGTAAAATTTTTTGCCTAGCGTGTCGAGACTCGGGAGGTTTGAGGTTCTAATCCACACTCGTATAGTTTTTTTTCCCCTCATCACATCCAATAATGTTTATCAGTGGTTGAATTGATATAATGTTTATCAGTGGCTGTACATGTTTTGATGAGGGAAAAAAATACGAGAGCGGATTAGAACCCATGAGAAACAGGGACAGACACGTTTGTGTGCATTTTGATTTGTGATTTCACCGGAACGAATCTCCGCAACGGATTGAAGCGCGTTTCCGAGAGAAGACAACACATTTCAGTACTAGATCACCTGTTATTTAAAAAACAAAAGAAATGAATGCTGTTAACTGGAGATGTTTTATTTGTATTGGTACATGATCTGTGCCGCGAGATGTTTCAAAAGTGGTGGTGACAAAATCGACCCTGGCAAAAAAAGTGGTGGGGACATGTCCCACCCGTCCCCGCCGTAAATGACGCCTATGATAAACACATTTCTTGTTTCCTGACAAAAGTTATAGTGGGATGCAGATTTTTTCAGATTGTATTTTGACCTGCAAAAATATGCAGCCTATCCCCGCTCCAAAATCTACAGATGATGGCCTATCATCAAGTGTTTCATTTTGTAAATACTTCACATCATGTCTAGTAACAGATATGAACACATTTCTTGTTTCCTGACAAAAGTTATAGTGGGATACAGATTTTTATCAGACCGTATTTTTGACCTGCCAAAATATGTATCATCCCCTCCAAAATCTACAGATGATGGCCTATCATCAAGTGTTTTATTTTGTGAATACTTCACATCATGTCTAATAACAGCAGTGAATATGGACTTCAAAATCGTTTTTATGTCATGACCAGCCGATGTTTTTGGTGCAATGCTTTATTGAATCATTTTGAAAATAACTCACCATGGAAGGAGGAGGGGGGATCCAAAACAATTTTATATCCACACAGGCTGTTTGCTTGTGAAACAATATGGTCGTCTTGGTTTTACTGTAACTTTATACATTCTCGTGAGAATTGATCAATTCAGTGCATGAAGTTCGATCGTAGCCTACAGAAAAATAAAATAATTTTTTTTTTATAGATGGGCCATGTGATATAGCTGTCTTGCTAAACCTCGTCGATAAAAGAACAATACAGTTTTTTTCAATTGTTTACACACAATTTTGAAAATCGGGTTCTTTTTTTCAAAATATAATCACAATTATCCAAACACCACACTCAATTGGCATAATTCCTAGATTGTTTGCAAAATGACACACCTCTGTCAAAACATACACACTTCAGTCAAAAGATATACACATATATGTAAAAATGCTATCAGTTTTCATTTAACCAACACAGTCCTCAATGATCAGACACTATTGCAGCCAGTTTCACACTGCCGTGATAAATAAAAAACACATTTGTATAAAAACTATTTTTAGGAAATATCATGTGCTAGATTTTTGACCAGACATTGTTATTTAAGGGATAATTTAGATGAAAAAAAAAATAGTGATATCTGCAGACTTATATTTCAAGTATTTATTTACAGTATCTCTTACCATAATCTGTAATCAACCAACAATGAAATCAATGACAAAAATAAAATCTGTAGACAAATAAAAATTACTGCATGAAGTGCATACAGTAGAATACTCTTAGCAACAAGAATACTCTTAGAAGAAATGGTTCTATTTAGAACCAGAAATGGTTCCATCCCCCGCTTCATATATGGAACTCCAAAATGGCTCTATATAGAACCATTTTTTTGGTAAAAGGTTCTATTGGCCAAATATGGAACCCCAGGGTTCTATGTAGAACCCAGAGGAACCCTTTTTAAGAGTGTATAGAACCTTTTAGGGGTTCCAAATACGTAGCACTGATAGAACCTTTTACAGTAAGGTATATATAGAACCTCTTCTTCTAAGAGTGTGATTTGTGATTTTTTTCCTGAGATTTGGTTGATCTCTTTGTCCAGCTTCCATCAGTGTCAGTCCATTGTTGATAACATGGTCAATAAGTTTTGCACGGATTTCTTGAGTCGAGTTTGGTCCTCATCTTCTTTGTTCAGGTTATATCAACCCTTCAGGTCCTTCTCTACCTCCTTCTCCTCTATCTCCTTCTCCTCTTCTTCTACCTGGGCCTCCTCCTCTACCTCCTTCTCCTCTTCCTCCTTCATCTCCTCTTTGAGCTCCCCCTCTTACGTATTCCCACTCTTCTTCTTCTACAAACCCAATTCCATAAAAGTTGGGACACTGTACAAATTGTGAATAAAAACAGAATGCAATGATGTGGAAGTTTCAATATTATATTTAGAATACAACATAGATGACATATCAAATGTTTAAACTGAGAAAATGCATAATTTTAAGGGGAAAATAAGTTGATTTTAAATTTCATGGCATCAACACATCTCAAAAAAGTTGGGACAAGGCCATTTTTACCACACTGTGTGGCATCCCCTCTTCTTTTAATAACAGTCTGCAAACGTCTGGGGACTGAGGAGACAAGTTTCTCAAGTTTAGGAATAGGAATGTTGCCCCATTCTTGTCTAATAAAGGCTTCTAGCTGCTCAACTGTCTTAGGTCTTCTTTGTTGCATCTTCCTCTTTATGATGCGCCAAATGTTTTCTATGGGTGAAAGATCTGGACTGCAGGCTGGCCATTTCAGTACCCGGATCCTTCTTCTATGCAGCCATGATGTTGTAATTTATGCAGTATGTGGTTTGGCATTGTCTTGTTGGAAAATACAAGGTCTTCCCTGAAAGAGACGATGTCTGGATGGGAGCATATGTTGTTCTAGAACTTGGATATACCTTTCAGCATTGATGGTGCCTTTCCAGATGTGTAAGCTGCCCATGCCACACGCACTCATGCAACCCCATACCATCAGAGATGCAGGCTTCTGAACTGAGCACTGATAACAACTTGGGTTGTCCTTGTCCTCTTTGGTCCGGATGACATGGCATCCCAGTTTTCCAAAAAGAACTTCAAAATTTGATTCGTCTGACCTCAGAACAGTTGTCCACTTTGCTAGAGTCCACTTTAAATGAGCCTTGGCCCAGAGAAAACGTCTGCGCTTCTGGTTCCCGTTTAGATATGGCTTCTTTTTTGACCTATAGAGTTTTAGCCGGCAACGGTGAATGGCACGGTGGATTGTGTACACTGACAATGTTTTCTGGAAGTATTCTTGAGCCCATGTTGTGATTTCCATTACAGTAGCATTCCTGTGTGTGATGCAGTGCCGTCTAAGGGCCCGAAGATCACGGGCATTCAGTATGGTTTTCCGGCCTTGACCCTTATGCACAGAGATTGTTCCAGATTCTCTGAATCTTTGGATGATATTATGCACTGTAGATGATGATAACTTCAAACTCTTTGCAAATTTTCTCTGAGAAACTCCTCTCTGATATTGCTCCACTATTTTTTGCCTCAGCATTGGGGGAATTGGTGATCCTCTGCCCATCTTGACTTCTGAGAGACACTGCCACTCTGAGAGGCTCTTTTTATACCCAATCATGTTGCCAATTGACCTAATAAGTTGCAAATTGGTCCTCCAGCTATTCCTTATATGTACATTTAACTTTTCTGGCCTCTTATTGCTACCTGTCCCAACTTTTTGGGAATTTGTAGCTCTCATGAAATCCAAAAGGAGTCAATATTTGGCATGGCAATTCAAAATGTCTCACTTTCAACATTTGATATGTCATCTATGTTGTATTCTAAATATAATATCGAAATTTGAAACTTCCACATCATTGCATTCTGTTTTTATTCACAATTTGTACAGTGTCCCAACTTTTATGGAATTGGGTTTGTAGATCCTTCCATTTTTGTTGACAGGTGAACTCACCTGCTGCCTTTTATAGCACACCTGAGTGCTGCATTTTCAAATTAGCACATGTGTGCTTCCACACCTGGTGGATGTGCATATCCAATTCATTCATTAGTGTGGTCAATGGCAAACTGGGGCTTTGTAATGACAAGGAAGTAACCTCACAATCCTTATCTGTGTCTAAGGCAGTGGCGGCTCCTGCAAAATCTCTCAGGGGGGGGGCAAATGTTTGGATGATTGATAAGGACAAGGTCCACCCATGCAATGGATAAATTAACAGCTTAAGCAGCTTCTTGTTTCTCTACTCACTATTATTACACTTATTACATCACATTACTCACTTTACTCTTTACTCACTTTACTCACATTTACTCGCATTACTCTTTACTCACTTTGCTCACATTACTCACTTTGCTCACATTTACTCCCTTTACTCTACTCACATTACTCACATTACTCTTTACTCACTTTACTCTTTACTCACATTACTCTTTACTCACTTTACTCTTTACTCACATTACTCACTTTACTCTTTACTCACATTACTCACTTTACTCTTTACTCACATTACTCACATTACTCACTTTACTCTTTACTCACATTACTCACTTTACTCCTTACTCACATTTACTCACTTAGTCAGAAATGGTTCACCCAAAAATGAAAATTATCTCAGTAATTACTCACCGTCATGTTGTCCCAACCCCGTCAGACCTTCGTTCATCTTCGGAACACAAATTACGATATTTTTGATTCAATCTGAGAGCTGGATCACTCCTCCATAGGCTTCTAAAGGACTGAAATGGACTATATTAACGATCTCTTAAATAACTTTTCTGGGCCAGGAAGTTTCAGTCCTTTAGAAGCCTATGGAGGAGTGATCCAGCTCTCAGATTGAATCAAAAATATCTTAATTTGTGTTCCGAAGATGAACGAAGGTCTGACGGGGTTGGGACAAAATGAGAGTAATTACTGACATAATTTTTTATTTTTGGGTGAACTAACCCTTTAATATACTGCTTACTTATACTGAAATTTTGCTCTTCTCTCTTTCAATGTAGCAAAGTGATCAATTACTTTCTCATTGAAAGCAGGCATGTTCCTGACTAGATCCCTCTCCATCGAAAGCATAGCCAGTGCATTCAGACATTCCTGTCCCATTACATTTCTCAGGAATGTCTTGATTCTCTTTAAGGTTGAGAAACACCTCTCAGCTTCAGCAGTTGTCATAGGAGTGGTTATTAGGATGTTCAATAGAGCAACAGTCTCTGTAAAAGTATCCTGGAGGTTGTACTTCAGCAAAACCTGGTACAGCGCCAGTGCACCAGAGCAGCCCTTGAATTCTGGACTCTCATAAATGAGAGACAGTTCAGTCTTCAGCTTCGCTTTATTTAACATCGGGTATGCCCTGACAGTGATGTTCAGAGCCTCAACAGGGAATGTATGGCCATGCTGTTGAAACAGCTCTCCTTGTAGCAGCGTGGCACTTACAAGGTGGTCGGTAAAGGCAAACCTTTCTTTGGTGTGGATCAAGATTGTGTCGCAGACCTGACAAAATAAATACATTTTATTTTAGTTATAAAATAAATTATTATAATATAAAAACAGAGATAAAAGGTATATAAAGTATATCTTGTACATAAAGATTTTATATCTCCATATTTTTTCAAAAATTAATACTATTGGTCACCCTTTACATCCATCAATGTGTTTTACAAATATTTAACCAATGAAAAACATTAAGAGCTTGGAAATTATTTGGGGGGGAAACAGGTTCCTTTGTTTCCTGAAAAGTAACAGTTTTGGACATACAACAGCGATGATTTGTGTGTGTGTTATTATGTTAATTAACATTTTACCAAAATTCAAGCTCAAATGGAGTTTGAGAAGGGTTTTTGACCAGTAAATGTAATTTCAGTCCACTCAGAGTTTCTTTTCTTAAAGATTCCACTAGGTGGCGACAAACAATATTGTTGACTAAATCATTGCTGTGTAGGATAAAAATTGTGTTGGTTGTCGAATGGAATGTACAAATTTCAAAGTATGATGCTAGGAGTAAAAAAGACTGCTCCCATCCGTTCCTAAACTGATTGTAAAAATAAAGTGAAAGTTTCCAACACTGGAGTATTGGTCAGAAATAAATACCTCTTTAGACAGCCTCTGCTTGTCGTCTGCTCCCAAGCCCCTCCTAGATCTTGTTGTTCCTGTTACTACTTGCTCCTGAAATGAGCTCTGGTCCCTGAACACAGATAGATCAACAGTGTTTTTATGAATAAAACATGTTTTATGAATAATCTCATGTCATTGAAAATGCTTATTCATGTCTTAAAAAAACAGAAGCAACACAAATAGTCTGTTTTAGATATACTTTCTGAGAATACTTCAAAAGATTGCTAAACTTTGTTACAGACAAAGTCATTACAATTTCCAAAGATGCAGATGATTAAATTAGTTCACCACTTTTAAGTGTCTAAATCTTGGTACCATATATCATACATTTTTAAATGCCATGATCCTATATTGAGAAGGTATGATATGATCTTACCTGATGGACTGCACTTTCATTGTGAAGTTCTGGAGGGCTTGTTTGATGAAGACTGCATCAATGTTCTTCTTCTGCAGCTGCTGGTACATCACGTCAACGTGAGGCATGATTTGATGAAACAGATGCAGAAAAAAACTGAAAGTCTTCATCTTGCAGCATCCTCAGAAAGCCAGATGCCTCCCTCACCGTGTTGCTATCAAAGGAGCTGTCAGTCGCAATACAGCTGAAACACTCAATAAGGTCATCTAGGTTCTCGCATACAGTGTTCACGATTCTGCTATTAAAGTTCCATCTTGTGGATGAGGCTCTTGGTAGCCTTCGTGCAACAATCTCGTCGAGAATAGTAGTGCGTTTTGGTGACCGGGTAAAAAAGCTGGTAATGCCACTCAGATCAGAAAAGAATACTCTAACTGCTGGAGTTTGAGATGTAGCTTGCTGCATGATCAAATTCAGCTGGTGTGCGTAGCAATGGACATAATGTGCATTTTCATAATGTTCACGCACCTTTTGCTGCACACCAGCCCGCTCTCCCCTCATCACACTTGCCCCGTCGTATGCTTGCGCGATGAGTTTGCCTCTGTCATCATCAGTGAAAAGGCTGTTCAGCCTCTCCAGAATCACACTGGCAATCGACTCGGCTGTTGTATTCAAGATGGGGATGAATTCATAGAAACGTTCTTGCACAGCATGGTTCGTGTCAATGTATCTCAACACAAGCACTAACTGAGTCTGTGTAGAAACGTCAGTAGTCTCATCTGCTTGAATTGCTACGAATCTAGCTGACTTCACCTCTTCCATTGCTCCCTGATGACTGACAGCATGCAATCCAAAAGCTCATTTTGAACAGTCTTTGATGTACCTTTAAAGACTGTGGCAGTTTTCAAGTGCTCCTCAAACACCTCGTCAAGCGATGCTGCCAAGTTGACCAGTCCACGAAAAATGCCAGCGTGGCTTGAGCCTTCGCTCTCATCTTTGCCCCTCAATGCTAATTCGAACAGGCCACAAAACTTAACACAGTCGATGAGACGGCCAAGAATGTGTCGGTTCTTACTAACCTCGTCATTGTGACGACGTACAGCTATCCGGTAACTGTCGTCCAACTGTGTGGCAATATTGACTTTCCCGAAAGCCGCCAATTTTAGGCAACTGTCCATATGCACCTTCGATGTTTCATGTTTTTTCACTTTCTCGGAGAGATGATGCATATCGGTGACACCTGTAGTTGTCCATGCGATGTCCGTCCCGTTCTCAGGATGGAAGAGAATGCAGGGGTAGCAGAATAAAGCATTAGCTACTTCGCACCCTGCTAGCCATTTTATCCGCTCGTACCAATTCCTCGAGAATCCTCTATGATATGATTTCCCGCCCATTGTAGATACTTGTTTTATCTTTAAATTTGGTCTTGGTGGCCCAAACTTTTTAATTGTCATTTTATCCTGATTACTATGACGGCTGAATGGTATTTCTTTTAATCCCACGATAGAATTAATAACTGCGTTCGCCATGACGTTGTTGTTCAAATTCAACTGTCTGTAGCCACAACTCGCGAGATGTCCCAACAGTCTCTCTCGCTCTCGTTTTTTTTTTTTTTTTTTTTATTAATTTCATAAAGATAGTAAAGATGTGTTTCATTTTTTATTGTTGTTGTTTAGATTCAAAATTATTTTAAAATATTATTTGTCACTTAATCTTAAAGATTTTTAATAGTGTATGTCTGTTCCCACCAATCGCTGCACAAGTTAAGGATACGTATGATGATGTAAGCACGTTAGTGCGAGCCCTCCCGGAACCCATAGAGAATGCATTGCAGTGCCTGCAGTTCGAAAAAAAACATCTTTGAATGTAAGTCTATGGGAACACTCTGGGCGATTCTCAGCCAGAGTGAAATCGCCCAAAAAGACGCGGTACTCCACAGAACGTGACATGACGCTGATTGGACTATATCCAGAGGCTATGACGGCTAGTGCAGCGTAACTCTGTGGTTGAATGAGATTGTTTTTGTTTTTTTGAATGTGATTCACACTTTGGTGGTGCGTCGCCCAATCGCCCTAATGAAGAAACCGCCCCTGGTCTAAGGTGTGAAGATGTGTGTAGAGTTTTACAAATAACTGTGTATAATGTTTTGCAAAAAGGGTGAAGGTGACAACGTGCTTACAATTGTGCAAATCTAGGCTGGTGTTTTGGTCCTTGAGTGTAGGTTTTGCTAATAGTGGGAAAGTTTTAATTTTAGTGTGTAAGCAATTGAAAAAAACTGTAATAAAACGATAACTTAAACAATTCACGTGGTATAGTTTCATTTACCGTGGTCAAAGCAATTACGCACCTTCTGCTAAATGCGAGCGGGGATACACTTCCATTCAGGGGTAAGTAACGTTACCTTGGCATGACACCTGAAATCGCCCGCTCTCCATTGAAATAAAAGGGATCCTGTCACTGCGTGTTGCTGATAGAGTGTGAATAAAAAAAACAATCAGTGCTACCTTAATGTAAAATTAAATGGCCTCAAAAAAGTGAATGATGCATACTAGCCACAGGGGTCACTCTTGCTCCGTTAAAATAATAAGACTGTTGCGTCATGCTGCCTAATAGATCAACATTAAACAGTTTGACCCTTTTAAGATCCAATAAGAACAAATACAGTAGGCTATGTCTGTTTTGTTGTTGTTGTTTGTTTGTTTTATGAGCATGTGTATAAAATGGACTACTTGCACAACTACTTCCGCGTACATACCGGGAGTTTCCGGTTAGAGTGTTCATCGCACGTCCATACATGAGAATGCAGATTATCACTACGTTTTATGGACGCCAATTTATTAAAACAATAACATCTCTATATTAATTATCTTGAGCCTGGTGAAATGTTCCTATATATTTTCTATCTAACTGTTCAATTCTGAATAATAAATAGGCTTAATATATTTATCCACTAACCTGTTGTCTTCTCATTAACAGCGTATTAGCCTACTTATATTCTATACTTGAGTTTACATTTTTTTAATGAATTTGACTAATAAAAAGTGTGCATTGGTGCTTTATTCCTGTCTTTTTAAAATAGTTGAATGAATGAATGAATGAATGAATGAATGAATGCGAGGTGCCTACCTACGATCAGAACGCATGCAGCTAGAGGAGAATGACAGTCAACTTCTCTGAATATTAATTAAGCATTTTGGGCATGAACATGTAATAGTAAAACGATTGACATTGAAAAACGACACTGAATGATTACAATATTTAATCTAAATAAATAAATGTTCGTGTTTCGTACTGATGTTATTAATCTGTTCTCACACATTTCAGCGTCGCAGTCACTAGTGTAGACGAACACTGACACCCTGTGGTGAAATAATGGCATATTTTTAACAGCCGCAGCTTTCTCGGATTGGCTTGGTTTGGATTTAAACTTAATGTTCCGATGAGTTTTGAAAATTCTGCACACGTTAAACATCAGAATATCCCTTCTTCTGTCAATAAAAATGTCCAAAATATAAAATCTTATTACAGACACTCATTTTAGGTGGTGTTTGTTCAACTCATTGACCGCAGTACATTGAAAGTAAACGTAACCGGAAATAAGCGATATGTATTGTTTCCAAACGGAAGTGCGTCACGAAGCTCAGTGCAAGGGCTGAGAGTGCGAGATGGCGTTGAGGTAACATCACTCTGTTATCGCTCTGCAATATGAAGTAGCAAACCTCGTTTTTTTAACAGTTAACTCAAATTGAGTACTTTAAAATGCTATTCTAATACTTGACAAATCAGAGACTTTTTGAAGAAGCTATTCATCCATGTGTTTCCTTACTTTTTCGGCTTTTTTTTTTTTTTTGAAAATTGGCTGAAGTAGCTAATGCAAACCACGCCTTCGCCTAAATTTTCAAACAGACTGTCACTTCTTCTATACTCGACCAGAAGCCCCCAGCTGATCCTTATATTCTTGAAAAATGGACAAAGAGGAAGATATTAGCAGCATTATGCACTCATACGCCAAGAAGGCTCCACAGACACAGGCCGAAGAAGGCGAGATGGAGGTAACTTGACCGGAACAGGAGGGCTCGGACTCGGCGCAACCGCTAAATTCGCCGAAGCTGCGAGCCGCCAAGAGAAGTAAAATAACTGAAGACAACAAAGGTCAGTCTGTGCCCAATTCTGTTCTGCAAATGATAATGGAGCCGAGGGTTGAAAAAATGCAACAAGAGTCACTGAGGAAGTTGCAGTCGTTTGTCGGCGACAGTTAATGTCAAGTTCCCTCACTCTAGTGAAGTTTATCCCTGTAGTTTTCCCCACTTGAAAGGGTATGCTTGTTTTTGAAGGTTTGGACTGGATTTTACTCAATGACCAGGAATCAATTCTTTCTTTTCTTTTATTTTATTTTAAAGTTGTCATGGCCAAAAGCAGGTAAAAACCTTAAACACAAACACAAGTAAATCAAAAACACAATAAAGTAACCATAATAAAGCATCATTCTTGAGGACACTTTTCAAATAAAGACACTTTTAAAGCACTGCTAAAATGATTTTAACCTTAACTCTAGCAGCTTTTTAACCCCTTTAAAACTTTACAATACATTTCTTTAACTATGCTTTTAAACCTTCATAATGTTAAAGGAACACTCCGACTTTTTGGGACTTTAGCCTATTCACCTTACCCCCCAGAGTTAGATAAGTCCATACATACCTTTTTCATCTCCGTGCGTGCTATAAGTCTGTTTGACGCACCCACCGCTAGCCTAGCTTAGCACAAAGACTGGATGTGAATGGTTGCAGCTTTCATACTGATCCAAATGAGTGGCAAAATAACGCAAACGTTTTCCTATTTACATGTTGTGGTTTGTATAGTCACAGAGTGTGCAAATATCAAGGCCATATGAGACACAGACATCTTTTGACCGTATAAATACTATATTTTCTGAAGGCGAAGCACTGCTACTTGGGCAGAGTGATAACAATCACCTGAGACGCACCGTGACGAGGAGCAGAGAGTTCGCTTCGCTCAGCGTTGGAATAAAGAGGCAGCAATTACTAACGTTAGATAGAAAAGCATAGTTTATCATGGGTGTTTGCTTTATTGTATGAGCTGTGACAATAAACAGGGGAGACCAGGTAATACAGTACCATGTTTCATTGATTTCCAACCAAAAACGCACCCAGATTTATAAATATCACATGAATAAATAATTATTATTACAGGAATCAATATATTTTAAATGCAATTTATTAGCTGAACCAAATGTAGGCTATTTAGCCTATATAATATACAGTATTGCATTACTATAGGATAGAATAAGGGGAAAGTAATAGCACAAATTGTTTTTGCACAATGAACTCACAGCCTATCGTACCCTTTTGCACGCTCAAGTTCGTTATTTCCATGGTTATTTCAAATTTAGGCTAGGTGCGCTGCGCGCAG